ATTTCCAGAGAAGCTTTGGGTGTAAATCAGTGTATACTTGGAGAGGGAAAATTTTTCTATCTTGTAGAGTAGGTATTTTTATAGAATGAAGGTTGATCATTTTTTTAATACTTTAAAGAAGAGAGAAATGTATCTGTGTATACACAAAAGCATATATATATATATGTATAAATATATAAATATTGGAGATCTGCCTTTCTCGACTTGGGATCACGGATCCCCGGTTCTCAAACAATCGTCTTTTTTCCTGTCGCTCACAAAGAGGTACTGTAACTGTAAATAAGCACCGGGAAAAAGTTTTAAGCAAACAAAGCACTGACTTGCACATTCACCATGCTTCAAAGTCCCTATGCAAAAAAAAAAAAAGAAAACACCAACAAAAACTGTACTTCCCGAAAATGTTCCTCTTTCCCCACCGGTATGTGAAGGAAGTCCCTAAAAAAGAGGCAAAACCAGTATTGTCTTAAATGATGTATCAATTCTTGTCAGATTAAAAGCTGTTACTATTCCTGCCCTGAGACCTTCTTTCCCCAGGGGTGGCTCCGCGTACCAGAGCATCCCGAGCTCCGGAGCATCCGTGTGCCGGCTCCCGAGCAGGGCTAGCTGGGAGTCGAAATGCCCCTGCCCTGATTTGGGGGGGATGAGGAGGGGGGAAGGCTGGACCGGGCTGGCTCCGGAGGGGCCAAGGTCAAAGGGAGCCCAAGCCTCCCTGCCCGCTGAGCTATGCTGATGGGAACTGGGGGGATTCACCCTTCGCTTTCCTGGGCGGGGGATGAGGGACCTTCGGAGCTGGCCCTGTCCCCCCCCGGGCATCCTCCTGCTCTGGAGGGTTGAGGGAGACTGAGATGGGGCCAGGCTGCGGCTTGGCACTGCCGGGGACTCGCTTGGGTCTGCTCCAGGTGAGGACACGGAGGCTTTCCCTGCCTTTCCTACACTGTGCTAAACCCCTCCAAGCTCTCAGCTGCTCTGAACTGCTCTAAAAATCCCTTAAAATCTCTAAACCACCCTGCTAAGCTGCTCCACACCCCTCTAAGCTTCTCTCCGCCTCCTCCCAGCCCCTGTAAGCCGCCCCAAAGGGCTCCGACTGCAAAAAACCCTCTCAGCCCCTGGAGTGCCTCCGGATGCCTCCAGACTGTTGCTCTGAACTCCGAGCAGCCGAGGGCCTCTGCACACTCTGAGCTCTCAAAAACACCCCAAATTGTTTCAGACTGCTCCACGTTCCTCCGAACTGCTCTGAGCAGCGCCGAGCTGCTCTAAAACATCCCTGAACATCTCTAAAACGCCGCTGTAGCGCTCTAAACTGCTCTACACCCTGCTAAGCAGCTCTGGTGTGCATCAAGGTTTCTCTAAACACTTCTAAAAAAATCCTTTAAAAATTGCTCTGAAAAGCCCAACCTCCAGCAGCGTGAAGCTGCTCTAGAAACCGGGTGGGTAAACGGCTCCGGGGGTGCTGGTGCGGTGCTGGGTCACTTCGAGGAGCTTGAAACTGCTTCTGAATAGCTCGGAGCTCTGGAAGGGTGGATCTTCGGGCAGCGCTGAAGCACTTGGAATTGCTCAAATAGCTCTCAGGCTCCTCAAACCAGCCCTAAAGGGCACCAAGATGATAAAACTGCTTGGAGCGGCTGGAAGTAGCTCTTAAAGTCCTCTGAACTCTTCTAAAACTCTTGGAAATAGCTCAGAATGGTTCATAAAAAAGATCTTGTAGCAGCTCTGAAGCACTCCAAGCCTCTGCTGCGTGGCTGTGAAACACCTCAAGTGCTCTAATGCCCTCCGAAAGGCCCCTGAAACTCCTCTGGACCCCGCTAATGCACCTCTCAAGTGTTAAAACTTTGCAGTAACACCCCCAAACTTCTCCAAACAGTTCAAAACCGCCCTAAACCCCCTCTAAATGACACCAAAGAGGCGTAAGCAACCCGGAAACAGCTCCATGCTGCTCTAAAACTCATGAAGATACATTTGTAGCTGCTCAGAAGCGCTGAAGCTCTTCTGCACATCCTCCGAAAAGGGCTTTAAATGTCTTGAAATCTCTCCAGCCTCTTCCGAGCTGCTCTGGAAAAGCCCTAAAGCTGTGAAGATCTCCG